AAAAAAAAAAAAAAAAGTTGATGGCCCCCATTGACTTCCCTAGTATTTTTTTCCGTACTGTGGAAGTCAATGGGGACCACCAACTGTTTGGTTACCCACATTCTTCAAAATATCTTCTTTTGTGTTCAACAGAAAAAAGAAACTCTTTTGGAATAAGAGTGAGATGCCAGAATTCTTTTTTGGGTGAACTTTCCCTTTAATGTTATGCCACATCATTATTATCCATACATTAGCAAAGATCAGTGTAAAACATGAATGGCGAGAGCACCTCATAAACCAGATACACCTTGGCGCCCACATAGATGCCCATTCGGGTCACAGCGCGGATCGCTGCATTCATACCTGCAGAATTATATAGCATTTTATTAATCACACACAACGCTTAGTATTCAGATGTTTATATAGATGATCACTTCCCACATTAATTCAGATTATTACACGGCTCTGTGGAATACTTGATACTGATTGGTCAGCCGTGACATTCCAGTCACACCACTTATTACACAACATTTCACCACAAAAATAATTAAGGCAATACAAGAATTAAGACGAAAATGTTTTAAAACCTTACCAGTTTGTTAGTTCTCTTATAATCCATTAGAGCGTACAAAACAATCGTAGCAAAATGGCAGCAGCTGCGTTTATATGAAACGAGAGCGAGTCCGCGATACCAGGATGACACAATTAAATAATTGTACACCATTTTGAATCGAGTTTTAATATTTTATTAGCTAAACAAACACAAAGCTTCCAGCAAGAAAAAATAGTTCAAGCAAGAGTACAGCGCCGACTGCTGTTACCTGGATGAGCCTGTGTTATCAGCTTTTACCGGTTGTTATCGAGGGATAACATACCTCGGAATGTCGCGATTGACCAATCAGAATCAAGTATTCCACAGAGCCGTGTAATAATCGGAGATAACAACCGGCTGAATGTACATTATCCCTTACTTAATGAATGCTGCATTTTCAGTTTATGGCTTTTAATATAGTGCAAATTAATAATCTGATGCCATGTAAAGAAAATGTCCAGGTCTATTACCGTTTTTTTCTGTATTTTGGTCAAATAAACATGAACTTTTATTTCAGTTAATGTTTATTTTATTTCAAGTAATGATTTTTTTCATGTAAATAATGTCAATAGCAAATAATTAACAATAATAATAATACTAAATAAATAAAAATGCAAAACATTTAAATATAATTCATAGAATTTCTTATTTTGAAATATGATCTGCACATGTTCTTGCCCACCTACTGACATAAGCTGTAGAGGTTTATATGGCCTATTTACATAGATCTACTTTTCTAGTAATTTACTAAATTTCAGACAAATTATTGACCGCGGAGGTTCAAACGGAAACGTTCAATACATGATGAAATAATAATAAGATAAAATAAATGCATCTGAAAGAAAGGCTATAGGCTAGCTGACCAGGAGGCAGTGAAGGTCAGTTTTTAGGTCATTTCAGTCATATATGGATTCCTGTTTATTGGTCATCATATAAACCTCCTTTTGCATTTCGTTGCCATCGCATGAACAAACGTGGCTGCCTACATCATCTACATAAACACATCTTTTATTAGTTCGCATGCATGTTCAGAATCAGAGGCCCCGCGTCAGCTGCAGCTTCACCTTGCGCGTCTCCTCCGCTCGTTAGCGCGGCGATCGCTCTGCCTGAGCCCGTCATCCGCAACTTCTCCAGCCCCGCAGAACTCATGCTGTCTTCCGACGATCCGCTTCTGCGAGATAGCAGTATGAGGTTACCGTGCTGCTGTAGACTATCCGTCCGGAGAGGATCGGTTACACCGCGTCTGTTGCGCCGAATGGCCTTCCGCGCAGACGCTGTGAGTTCTGTCTTGAGCGCGCAGACGTCAACGCCCACTGTAAACACTGTACTGTACTTCACTGTCCAGCAGCTTCCTTGCAGTGCTGGAAAGCCACAACCCAGCTAAAAACATGCCCTATAGTCCTAAATATGTCATGCATAGATTTGTAATACTTTCAGAAATACGTTTTCATACATTACAAGGACCGCTAGCGCTAGCAATCCTAAGTTTTAATGTATGAAAACTTATTTCTACAATTTTATGAAAGTTATGAAAGTTATGAAAATTCTCGGTTAATGCCAACGTTCCATTTTATCGTTTTGCAAACATTATGTGAACGTTTTTTCTGAACATTCCAAAACAAGTAGAAACGCTTAAATATGTTAGATCAGGGCTATTCAGTTAGATTCATCTGAGGGCCGGATTATTGAATTGAAAAATTGAAGGGGGCCAAGGGTGAGGGGCCCGTCCCGATCTCTTTCCGGGGGCCTATGAAATTAGAAATTAAATTAAAATGCATATTCAGCAGTAAAATCAACTAATATTACCAACACCACAATCTATAAAAACATTCATATTTTCTGTAAGTCGATAAAAAAAAAAAAAAAATTTCTGTAATTAATCATGATCAATTGCATAAATATATTGTCATAATTTCACATTGAACCTCCAAATTAATGTAGAAACAACCTAAAGGTGGTATATTTTAAATATGTTTAATGGCTTCTCTTTACAAAGTAGCCTATTATTAACAAAGGCCAGTATTTTTGATACCGCTACTGATGTCTCTATTAAATGCATTTTCACCTCAATTTTAGCCATTAATTATAGCCATTCAACATTACAGTATAATCGAAAGACATTATTTTTAACATTTAGTAGGCTCTGAAAAAATATAACGTTTAATTTAAGTGAACTTAAAAAAATCTTCACATAAACTATAAATTGTATTTGATAGTTTTGGCATAATTGTGCGCTGTCTGAAGCGGCTCAGCGCATGCGTACAGCAGAACGCGCAGCCTTTCAAACTGTACTCCATCTGATAATCATCTTTGTTCAGTGTCTGCGCTATTTCTCGCCAGAAGTTAAGACGGATAACACTGTCTTTATACTCATTTAAACTAGACTTGTGGATATCTCATAACCCTCAGATAGCTCGTCAACGCTGCCGTCTATTGATATTGTGGTCTCTGGAAAGTTGTTGTTGTTCCGTCTCTTCCTTTACTTTTTCGGCTGTGAAACAACGGTCTGGGCCAGTGATGCCACCTTGTGGATAAACTAATTAGTGCAAAAACAAGGCGTATGTGCGACCCCAATTGAATAGCCCTGTGTTAGATGAATGTCCATCTAAAATGTTTCAGAAAGGAACATTCCATTTTGCAAACATTATGTGAACGTAACTTTTGAATGTTTTCTGAACGTTCTGAAACAAGTAGCAACATTTAAATACATTAAATGAATGTCCAACTAAAATGTTTCAGAAAGGGAACGTTCCATTTCATTATTTTGCAAACATTATGTGAATATTACCTGTGAATGTTTTTGAACATTCTGAAAAAAAGTTACAAGTAGTAATGTTTTAAATACGTAAGATGAACATCCAACTAAAACGTTTCAGAAAAAACACTCCAGGAACATTATTATAACTTTGAACAACTTTTGGTTGAATATGCATCTCTGACTGAAATGCAGTTTTTTTAATTATTAAAGCTGCCATTTTGTGCTATAAATTTTTAAAATCTAAATGGAATGTAACAATTCACTCAACTCACAATGCGATACTGTAATGATTCATCAACACGGCTGGGATCCATTTGCAGTTTTATTTGTAACTTAATCAAACAAGCAGAGGTCAAGACACAGATAAGGCAGTATCGTAGGGCAGACAGAATCGTGATCATAGACAGACCTGAGATCGGGGCAGGCAGATATCGTTCGGAAACTGGAGCAGTCATAGGTCAGGGCAGGCGGCAATCCAAAGTCGACAGTCCAGTATCCAGAGCACAAGTCCAAGAGGCAGGCAGCAAACAACACGAGAAGAAGGCAGGCAGAGGTAATAACAGAAGACAGTCCACAGTAACCAAAATAACGCTCAGAGATGTTCACCAAGGCAAAACAAGACTTCGCAGTGAACCTGGGTGAAAGAGCTCCTTAAATAGTCTAACGTAATGGGGAACAGGTGTAGGGGAGTAATCAGTGACAGGTGCAGGGCTGATGGGAAATGTAGTGCGGGAAGGAAACTAGTACTCTGGTGATGGGGCCCTCTGGTGGCCCGAAAGAAGAGTAACAGGAGCGCTCTCCGTGACAGATACGATTTTCTCACAATTTTTTTTTTTTAACAAAATTAGATTTTTATGATGCGATTTCAATTTTTCCTTTCTCTTTGGAGTGTTACAAGCTCTTGGTGCATAAAGAAGATCTGTAAAGTTTTAGATTTAAAGAATTTGCCACTGATGATTTAAACACAAGTTTTTTGGGCAGTGTAGAGTAGCACTTGTTGTTTGTTTTCTCCGATCACAAATGCAGACATGGTTTTATGTTTACGCGGCACGATGCAACGCAATGTGTAAAAAGACAGTATAAGTCATTATAATCCATAATTATGTCCCCACTGGATATATGTCAAATAACAAAACTAAATTGAAATTTTACAACAAATAAACTGCAGTCCCACACTTTATTATTATTATAACATTATGGGATGATATAAAATGTTTTGTTTCCTGGGATTAAGTAGTGTTTGTTTTACACCTGATAAAGACACGTTAAAATACTTTCAAGTCAACTGCATTATAAAAAAGCTAACTTACATCGGTAATATTTCATGCAATTAAGTACATTAGGAAAATGCAACCTAGATTTTTTTTTTGATTCTGAAGACCTCATCCTCGGTATAAACTGCAAATGCAATAAAACTTGTGAACTTTGAACATGCAATTCTATTTTAGATAAGTTATCTGGCACTTCAACTCTGTTCTGCTTCGTACTTCATGCATAAGTGAACGTATTTATGGCTATAAAGGATATACAGCACCTTTGAAATGCACAACAAAGCTCTCTAGTTAAACTAAACATCAGATACATATGAACAGAACGAGGAGAGGCGGCAGAGTTTGGTACAGTACATCAGTGTTTATTCCATGCAGTTGCTCTGCCTTGATTTTACACGTCACTCCTGTCGCACTGTGCACAGGCTATTACAGGAAATCGTCAGGATTGGTTGATCATTACACCATTCAAGATAAGGAAGGAAAAGGGCCGAGACATGAGTAAGAAACAAACTGGAGGAGGAAAATGAGCCCAGAGCTTAAGATATTCCGCACAAAAATAGTTCATTTTTAAATACCTGTATATGTAGTAGTTAATAAAGCAATTAAAAATGGTTAACGTGAATAAGGACAGAGAAGATGGCAGGAGAAACGTACGGTTCATGTGATACAGAACTGCATGACACTGGAATTATCTTCACAACCAGAACATGTTTGTGTCATTTTATAACAAAGATTAAATGTGAGGCAATAATCTCTCTTATGGTAAAGTGTTACCGATATTATTAATGTCCAGATGTGTTTCCCCTAGTTTTCCACAAAAAAAAGAAAATAAGGAAGCTTGTTTCTGCCACGCGAAAAATTCAGACTTTTTACCTCACAATTTGTACTTTTTTCCCCCACAATTCTGATTCTTTCTCCGATTACGAGATGTAAACGTATTATGACATATAAACTCAGAATTGAGAAAAAAGTCTGAATTGTGAGATATAAAGTCAGAATTGTGAAAAAGTCATAGTTGTGATATAAACTCATGATTCTGAGAAAAATGTCACAATTACCTTTTTTTATTTCATGGCGGGAAAAAAAACAACAACTGTAAGACGTAAACAGAATTCAGAGAAAAAAGCCAAAATAGCCTGATATAAACCAAGGATTGCAAGAAAAAAAGTCTTGATTCTGAGTTTATCTCTTGCAATTCACACGTGCAATTTTTCTCAGAACTGTGAGATGAAAGTCTGAATTGTGATATAAGTCGCAATTATCTCTGTGATTTTATTCCATGGCAGAAATGGGCTTCCATAAAAAAAAAAAATGGCCAAATGTCCATTTCTGAGATAATTACTGGATTCCTTTAAGATGCCAACAGAAGACAGTTCTAACATACATGAGACAATTATGAGATGAAGAAACAAAGAAATTAACAGCAATCTTACATGTGCTTTAAAATACATTAATGATCGTGTAGACCAGCTACAAAAAAGAAAGACATTTTTAAATTAAATTAAATTAAAATCATAATTTATAGGATTTGTGGTGGCGCTATGGCCAGAAAGACTTCATACATCATCATACTTCATACATCACTCACTAAAAACCAGGCCTGATCTTTAGTGGAACATGTAAACGGAAAGAATGAGGTTGGTGCGTTTTCGGTTTGCCTTCATTACAGTCAATTCACTTCATTTAAACAAATCTTGCGTTTTTATCACTTTACCACCATAGTGAACAGAAATTACAAAAATAATGCAAGTAATAATGGCTGATTTTGCCCCTCAAAGACATGAAGCCAACATGAAAACCCATTTTGCTTCTGAAATCTATAATATTTCTTGGTTGAAACTGGATTTTTATCCATCAAGAACTTATTGAATAGTTAAAAATGGGCTCCAGAATGGAGTCAGACGGCTGAAAAAGAAGGGTTAAAAATGAAAACCAAAACGCAAAAAGGGTAAATTTTGGTTTCATGTTGACCTAAAGTTTGTTTCCAGTGGCCTTTGCTTTGTTCATTTGCTGCAAACTCACAGCTTTTCTCATAAACTCAATGATACTGTTGTTTTAAAGTGGAATTACATCTTGCGAGGCTTCTTTTAGTAAGATGTCAGAAAATAATAATAATAATAATAATAATAATACCATTCACAGTTTATTTTACATGCCGTATCCGGTTCAGAAACACATCCGGCTGCATTACTGATGATGAACGAGGCATTTTAACTAGTACTATAACATCTATATCTAAACACAGGGTAAATATGAATGCAATAATTAAATATAGATATGCTGGAAGATGCAGTGTCCCTTTCATAAGGAAATGATGAATAAAAACACATTTGCGAGGGAGAACTTACACACAGACTACGTTCACACCGCAATTGAATCCGGTTTTGTTCACAAAGATGATCGGATTGAAATGCAGTGCAAAATTTCCCAAACGACTGAAACAAGACGGACAAACCGCTTTTGTCTAGTGGAGACTCGTTTGCACTATAAAGCATTGAACCGGAGCATAAACCAGCAAGAAGCACGGGACTTCTTCCATTTCTTTTTGTTCCATTTCTTTAAAACTCGACGTGTAAAAATAATGAACTCAAATCTGCAAAAATAGAGGTCTTTTACAAAGCACTTTATTTCCAGTCCAGCCTGCTAGACAGTCATCCTGAGCGAATGATTCTCAATAGCCTGAGCGCAAAAGCGACGTTATTGCTGATTCACCCGCGGCCCTGAAACAAACGAGCTCGTTTAAAGGTCTGTCTCCATCAACGGCATGCTATTAACACACAAACACCGGCAGAACCACACCATACACGCTTCAGAGCGATCGTTTAACCACAAACCACAATTCTGTCATCATTTCTTCACCCTCATGTTGTTCCAAACCCGTGTGACTTTCTTGCATGGAACACAGATGTAATTTGATCATACTTTTATGGTGCTTTTTTTGGTAATTTTGAAGCTTGACAGGTTGCATGGGGGGGGGAAAAGTCAAACAGGTTTGGAGCAATATGAAATTTTTGGGGGTAAACGATCCCTTTAACACTAAAGGGACACTGCACCTCCAGAACATCACTACTGCGCAAAAGACTGGATTAATTATGTTTTTAATTATGTCTCTAATGCTCACATAGGCTATTTTATTTGATCATAAGTACACTAAAAATTGTGAAATATTATTACAATTTAAAATAACTATTCTCTATGTGAATATTTGTTAACATGTAATTTATTCCCGTGATCAAAGCTGAATTTTCATCATCATTACTCCAGTCTTCAGTGTCACATGATCTTCAGAAATCATTCTAATATGCTGATTTGCTGCTCAAGACACATTTATTATTAGTATCAATGTTGAAAACAGTTGTGCTGCTTCACATTTTTGTGGAAACCATAAGATAAAAAAGAAAAAAATATATACTTTTATTCAGCAAGGAAGCATTAAATTGATCAAAAGTGAGAGACATTTATAATGTTACAAAAGATTTCTATTTCAAATAAATGCTGCTCTTTTGAATTTTCTGTTCATCAAAGAATCCTGAAAAAACTTTTCAGTTTCCACAAAAATACCAGACAAAACTGTTTTCAAAATTGATAATAATAATAACAACAACCATTATTAATAAGTGAGCACCAATAATAATTAAGCAGCAAATCAGCATATTAGAATGATTTCTGAAGATCATGTGACACTGAAGCCTGGAGTAATGATGCTGAAAATACAGCTGCACATCACAGAAATACATTACATCTGAACAAATACTCACATAGAAAACAGTTATTTTAAATTGTAATAATATTTCACAATTTTCCTGTATTTTTGATCAAATAAATGCAGCCTTGATGAGCAAAAGAGACTTCTTTCAAATACATGAATTATTCCAAACGTTTGACAGGCAATGCACACCGTCGGTTTTCACGTCAAACTCTTTAGGGTTGATACTTTCGCACGCCGAGCGTCCTGCTCTCCTCAAACACAGTCCTGAGATGAGAAAAAAGCTGCTCCGCTTCAGTTCAAACACTGATTTGATCATTAAAGACGTCGTTCCTCTAGAGCAGTTGTTCTTTGACTTCCTGTTCGTCTGTAGAGGCAAGCAGCAGCAGCAGCAGCAGTCTGATTGGCTGATCAAATGCCGACCAAGCAGGCATGCTGGGATATTTCCACACATCTTGGAAGTCAAAGAGGGCAAAAGAAACAAGGAAGGACGTCGTTCCTGCTGGTGCTCAAACTAAAGTAATCCTGAAGGGCGTCGTTTCAGTAAACGCAGGAAGTAGCATGTCGCCAGAGACCCATGTCTGGCGGGTCGGGCTCATTTGTGTCTGTGGTCCCGTCATGGAATGGATCCTCAAGCTGCGCACTTAAAGGGATAGTTCATCCAAAAATGAAAATTGGATGTTTATCTGCTTACCCTCAGGGCATCCAAGTTGTAGGTAACTTTGTTTCTTCAGTAGAACACAAACGAAGATATTTAACTCAAACCGTTGCAGTCTGTCCGTCATATAATGTAAGTGAATGGGAATCACGGCTTTGAGAGTCAAAAAAACATACACAAACAAAACCAAATTAAACCCTGCGGCTCGTGACGATACATTGAGGTCTTAAGACACGAAACGATCAGTCTGTGCAAGAAACTGAACAGTATTTATATCATTTTTTACCTATGATTCACCGCGATGTCCGAACTGTCCAGAGCGCGTTCTCAGACGCGTCGTCTTCTTCTTGCTTTACGGCGGATCGCAGACTTATAAGTGCATTACTGCCACCTATCTCTCAAATGGACCATTGATGCTCTATCTACAATCTCAATTAGGAGTGTCAATGGTCCATTTGAGAGATAGGTTGATAGGTTTTGTTTGTGTATGTTTTTATGACTCTCAAAGCCGTGATTCCCATTCACTTCCATTATATGACTGACAGACTGCAACGGTTTGAGTTAAAAATCTTCGTTTGTGTTCTACTGAAGAAACAAAGTCACCTACATCTTGGATGCCCTGGGGGTAAACAGATAAACATCAAATTTTTGGGTGAACTATCCCTTTAACACTTTCGCTCATGTACCTGCGGACATATATATACACACATTCTTGCAGACTTCAATAATCTTCTAACTAGCTAACTGGAATCGAGTTGCCTTGATCACTTCAGCGCATTAATACTCTGAGTAAGTCTGAGTTCCTGATTTCGTTTTGCGTTTCCTCCGGCTCGTAATAAAATAAGTTATGCATGTTACTCTAGCTACATTATCACTTCAGAGGAATCTGCCTGAGATGCTCAGAGAGAGAGAGAGAGAGAGAGGGGGATTATGGGAAGGGCTGATCAGACGGGTCAGGCGTGGATTATTGCCGTGTTTCCTCCGAAGGCTGGAGTTCACCAGGATGAAGGTGCGCAGGGCTGTTTGTTCCTGATGGTGGCGTCGGAGCATTCCGCATCCGACGTGTCACAGTCGGAATCTCCGAAATGCAGCGGATTCTGAGAGAGAGATGAACAAACGGGAAGTTCATGTTTCATTTAATTACACTAAGGGATTCAAACACTGCTCAACAAGTGATTCAGATGATTCACACTAATAATCATTCTTCAGTATATGATCCGATTAGCAATGATTCACGAGTGAATCATGAATCTGTTGATTCTCTTCTGAAAAGAATCACTGAAATATTTTTTTTGAGCGGGTTAATTTGGATTCCCAAACTTTTTTGTCCGTCGAACCACTTTGAGCTAAAATGATTTATTTGAAGTAGCCCCTGAGATTTAATAATAATAATAAGTTAATATTTCACTCATTTAACAACACATTCGCATGTTCACAGGTCTTTAATAAGAGCTAATAGTCACATGACATGTAGGGAACAAATAAAGTTTTTTATTTTAGAATTATTTATTTCATTTGAGTTTAATTTATTTAAGATAATATATATATTTTTTTAGTAAGTGTTGTTGGTTTTTATATAAAAATTATTTATTTTATTAAAAAATATTTCACATTTTTAGTAATTGTTTTATTCTGAAAGCTTTTATTTTAAAATTATGTAGTTATTTTATTTTTATTTCAAATAAAAATGAAAAAAGACAATATATTTTCTTTCTCATTTTAAAATTACTGCTTTTATTTTATTTTAATATTTAATATTTTTGGTAATCAATTTAATTTGATTGTTTTTGTTTTAAAATTATGTATTTATTTCGATTTTAATTTATTTAAAAAAACAATCTTTTTAGGAAGTGTTTTATTTTGATTTTATTGTAAAACTATTTTATTTTAATTTTTCTACAATTTAATAATTTCAATTGTATTATTTTGATTGTTTTTATTTAAAAACAAATTATGCATTTTTTTTTTAATTTAAATGTATTTTAAATATATAAAATGCATATTCTAATGTTTTATTTTGTTTTTATTTATTTTATTTAAAATGATCCCAATTATTTCATATTTTTAGTAATTGTTCATGTACTTGTAATTGTCTAAGTAATTAAGTAATTGTTTTGTTTATTTTAATTTGTCAAATATTACATTTTTAATTGTATTATTCTGATTGTTTTTATTTTAAAATTATGTATTTATTTATATACATTTGAATTTATTTAAAATACATTTACATTTAGCAGACGCTTTTATCCAAAGCGACTTACAAATGAGGATATATAAATAAATATATAAAATACATATTTTAGTAAGCGTTTTATTTTGTTCTTATTTTAAAATGATTTAATTTAAACTGATTCCAAATATTCCATATTTTTAAATTAATTATTTTATTTTGAGTGTTTATTTTAAATTATGCATTTATATATCTTTAAGTAAGTGTTTTATTTTGATTGGTATTTTTAAATGATTTTATTTTAGTAATTCTTTGACTGTCTTTATTTTTTAAATTATGTATTTATTTCAAATTATTAGCTTTATTTTGATTTTATTGTAAAACTATTTTATTTTAATTTTTCTACAATTTAATAATTTCAATTGTATTATTTTGATTGTTTTTATTTAAAAACAAATTATGCATTTTTTTTTTAATTTAAATGTATTTTAAATATATAAAATGCATATTCTAATGTTTTATTTTGTTTTTATTTATTTTATTTAAAATGATCCCAATTATTTCATATTTTTAGTAATTGTTCATGTACTTGTAATTGTCTAAGTAATTAAGTAATTGTTTTGTTTATTTTAATTTGTCAAATATTACATTTTTAATTGTATTATTCTGATTGTTTTTATTTTAAAATTATGTATTTATTTATATACATTTGAATTTATTTAAAATACATTTACATTTAGCAGACGCTTTTATCCAAAGCGACTTACAAATGAGGATATATAAATAAATATATAAAATACATATTTTAGTAAGCGTTTTATTTTGTTCTTATTTTAAAATGATTTAATTTAAACTGATTCCAAATATTCCATATTTTTAAATTAATTATTTTATTTTGAGTGTTTATTTTAAATTATGCATTTATATATCTTTAAGTAAGTGTTTTATTTTGATTGGTATTTTTAAATGATTTTATTTTAGTAATTCTTTGACTGTCTTTATTTTTTAAATTATGTATTTATTTCAAATTATTAGCTTTTCATAACCTTGTGAATCCCCTGCAGTTCCCGATTTAAATGAAGTGTTCGAAAGAAGCAGTTCACGTAAATGAGTTGGCATGAAACAGGAGAGCAAAGCACAGTGTTTACCTCGTAGCTGTGCTCATCAGCACACAGTTTGCCCAGAGAGATCTGGGTCTTGACCCGGCGGACGGCGCACTCTTTATCGGACAGGCCGTCGGACTGTGTGGAGATGTCGATGGGGATCTCAGGCGTGTGGGACAGGAGCTCGTCCAGATGCTCCTCCTGACTGGCGCTGAGCTGCTCCAGCGGGCCGCTGTGCGAGTGATCGCTGGTGTTTCCCTTGTAAAAGAGCATAATAGGACCCCTTTAAAACCTTAGTATTTTGTAGGGCTGCACGATTATGACAAAGATAATAATTGTCGATTATTCCCTTGAAATTTTAATTGCGATTATTAATTACAATTATCACAATTTACATTGAATGATGTTTATACCACTGTTTGAAGCAACCGCATGCCATATTTTTAGATGAAAATAAACAAATTGAAAACACTTTTCAACTTTTTATTTTACTTTTTATTGCTTTTCTATAGTATTAAGCCTCATGAAAATAAACAAGCTGAAAACACTCAAAGAGAAAAACTTTTATTGCTTTTCTATAGCTGTTACGTGTATCTGTGTGACACTTATATTCTAAGCCCATAGGTGGCGTTGTGGGGGATTCCCAATCCGCCAGAGTCGTGTGACGTCATCAAGGATTCCGGATAAATAGGCTGCGAGGCGACAATGGCGCTCTCTCTGTTGCTCCGCTTCCCATTGTTCTCGCAAGCGTCTCTCTCATCGCCTCTTTGAGGCTATATTTTTGATTTTCTTTACGTTTAGGTTTAACTTGTAAATTTGGGTTTTGATATGTGATATACTCTCTTACTTATCAGTAGCGGGTAGTGTATTTATTTATTAGTTCAAGTTTTGTTTATTTAGTAAGAACTGAGCGAGGGAAGCAGGGGTCCGGAAGACTCACCCATTCTTATTTTTATTTCGGGAGTCAGGTAAGAACATTATTCCGAGAACAGGTGTAGTTAGGAGTCTGTTTTTTTAGCTTTCCTACCCGTGAGCTGATCATTCTTTCTTTGTTATTATCCATTAGATTATGTTCATAAATATTCTTTGTGAATTGTTGCGCATTATTTTCTGAATGTTTGAGTTGAACTCCGTAAATGAATTAAATAGAGGCGTCCTGAAATTCACATCAGGTGTTGCGATTCTTTTAATATGTTCGGCCTGTGTCCTTTATTTAATTGTTTGAATTAACGAGCCTTAAAATGGTTATGGGCCGTAACATATTTGGGCGCTCGTCTGGGATTGATCTTGATTTTGTGTGACTTTGTGTGATCTTTTTGATCTGCTCACACTTGAATTTGTTACTTTGTAACTTTGTTGAATCACAGTCAATTGACGTGAATTTTGGCTTTTGTAGTGCTTTTTCGTTTTTCTCTTTAACCTAAGACGTTTATCAATCATGTTTGAATTAACGAATTTTATTGCGAATCCGACGCAAGCTGAATTGTTCCAAATCAACAGGGTTGATCTTATGAAAATTGCTGCACATTATAAGGTTAGTTTTCGTAATACGCAGTCCAAACGCGAACTTCAGGTGTTGCTTGTTGATTCGTTGCATAAACGGCGTCTTTGGTGATGAGGAAAAGCTGGTACGACTATCCTGAAGCAGATGAGGGCAGTTCAGAAGATCTTGCTTTGCAAGTCAATAAGTTGGAGTTGCAAGCTAAAGAGCACGATAGAGTTTTGTTTAAAGAAAGAGAAGAATGGGAGCGTGAGAAAGAGAGACGAAGAGAGCGTGAGAAACATGAGCTTGAATTGAAGAAGCTTGAGATGGAACAAGCTTGCCGCCTCAAAGAAATCGAGTTGAGAGCTCGTGAAAGGGGTGAAACGGATGTTTCTGATTTCGACGTGAGTCGTAATATTCGTATCGTTCCTCCTTTTCGAGAACAAGAGGTAGACAAGTTTTTTTTGCTCTTTTTGAACGTGTGGCCATCAATCTTAAGTGGCCGAAAACATTTTGGCCCATGTTGTTGCAGTGTGTTCTCATGGGGAAAGCCCAGGAAGCTTATTCTTCTTTGAAAGTGGAAGAGTCTCTTGATTATGAACAAGTAAAAGCTGCCGTTCTTAGAATTTATGAACTGGTTCCTGAGGCTTATCTCTAAAAATTTCGTAATCATCGAAAAACTGATGAGACCTATGTTGAATTCGTTCGTGAGAAAGAGTCAATGTTTGATCGCTGGTGTGCTTCCATGAAGGTAAAAACTTATGAAGAGCTCCGTGAACTGATTCTTTTAGAAGAATTTAAAAACTGCTTACCAGAACGTGTTGAAACCTACCTAAATGAGCAGAAAGTTCTCAAATGTTCCGCCGCTGCTGCTTTAGCTGATGAATATGTACTTACACATAAGAATGTGTTTGGTACTGCACAAAATTCTGGTAGCAACAGTCGACGGTATTCAAAGCGTAGCTTTGATCGCGCTCCGTGTGAGGATAAATTGGCGGAGAATTCTGTCAAGTCCGTGTCCTCACCCGTTTGTTTCTATTGTAAGAAACATTGACACATTATTGCTGAGTGCAAAGCACTCAAAAAGAAAAATAGTGTCCCTAAACCGGTAGGTTTATTGATGACGTCCTCGCCACAATTAGAAGGACTGGAGTCGTTAGCTTAAAAATATGCACGGTATTATAATGTTATAGTAACACTAAAATTAAAACAATGGAAAAACCCTTAAGATAACATGTAGAAAGAAAAAAAACACATCGTAAGCACTCAGAATAACATAAATGGACTTTGAACGATTGTGTAATTGTGGCATCCGTGATTGTAATCGCGATTAGAAATTCGATAAATTGTGCAGCCCTAGTATTTTGTCGTCTTTGGCTAATAGCTACAGAAAAATACAGGTTTAAAGATTACATGATTCGTTAAAAAAACATTAATCTTTTAAAAACTACAGAGCTCAAAACACAAAGTTTGCTTGGTTTTTAATGGTTAAGCTTTTAATGTTCACATGACATGCAGGTCTAAATGTCTTTTTTTTCTAAATAATTATTTTTATTATTTATAATTATTAATTTACTTATTACTTTAATTATTGTTTTTAATTTTAAATGTTACTTTTTTTCAAAACTTATTTTATTATTTCAATTCCTATTATTTTTTGTTTTTAATTAATTATTTGTTTTTAATTTTAAAATAATTTTATTAATTTTAATAACTGTTTAATACTGATATTATTTTTAATAAATTATTTATTTATTTTAATAAATTTAATTCATGTTTAATTATTAGCTTTTTATTTTTTATAATATTTTTTATATATTTATACATTTATATTTAATTTTTTTAATAAATTTACATTTTATTTATTTTTTTATTTAAAAAAAGTTATTTTCTGCTCACCAAGGCTGCATTGATTTGCATTTATTTATTTGAAATATTATTACAATTTAAATAACTATTTTCTATGATAATATATTTTAAAATGTAATTTATTCCTGTGATGCAAAACTAAATTTTCAGCATCATTAAAGATTACATGATCCATTCAAGGCTTCTGGCGAATCATGACAGAAAATCACAGATTAAATACAATAAGAGAGATTATGAATTGAAGCAGACTCACCGCTGTCTGCGTGGAAACTCCACCTCACTGTCAACCTCTCCTTCCTCTTCCTCAGAAGACTCGTCTCTCCCCTGACAGACACATACAACAGATCACATGCTAAATCACAAACACAAATAAAACACCTGGATCATATTATATTGAATAAATACTAAACTCACAATTTACAATATTACAGTTTTTAATAGAAATTCATACTTTTATTCAGCAAGGATGCATTAAATTGATCAAAAGTGACAGTAAAGACATTTATAATGTAACAAAAGATTTCTATTTCAAATAAATGCTGTTCTTTTGAACTTTCTATTCATCAAAGAATCCTGAAAAACAAAATGCTTCCACAAAAATATTCGGCAGCACAACTGTTTGCAAACTTGATAATAATCAGAAATGTTTCTTCAGCAGCAAATCAGCATATTAGAATGATTTGATCAATGAATTACAAATATCCTGTTTATATAAATAATCAAGTTATAATTAGTAAAGCTGAAGTGTCTAAGCTTGACCAGAGCAGATTTCTGTAAGTCTGATATCCGTTAATAGAAATACTTAACTGAATGACAGAAAAAAAATAATCAGAGTTCAAAACACATACAGTACACTACCAATCAAAAGATTGGAGTTTTTAATGTTCACATGACATGCAGGTAAACAAATTAAATATTTCAATTTTTGGGGGTTTTATTTTGATCATTTTTATTGAAATTTTTTTTTTTTTACTAAATTATTTTTATTATTGATATTTATTATTTTTTAATTTATTAATTTAGTAACAACTTTATTTTTGTAATTTCATTTTAAAATTATGCATTATTTTTTCAAGAATTATTTATTATATATATATATATATATATATTTTTTTTGTTGTTGTTTGTTTTGTTTTACTTTAATTTTTAATTATTTGCTTATCATTTCAAAATATTATTTTATTATTATTATATATTTTTAAATAATTGTTTATTTTTGATATAATATTATTATATCAATATTATATATTATTTTGTTATATTTTGGAATAATTGTTTATTTTTTATTTTGAGGTCTTTTTTTGCTCACAAAGCCTGCACAATTTTTAAAGTAAAAATTGTGAAATATTATTACAATTTAAAATAACTGTTTTCTATGTGAATATTTGGATCAATGAATTACAAATATCCTGTTTATATAAATAATCAAGTTATAATTAGTAAAGCTGAAGTGTCTAAGCTTGACCAGAGCAGATTTCTGTAAGTCTGATATCCGTTAATAGAAATACTTAACTGAATGACAGAAAAAAAATAATCAGAGTTCAAAACACATACAGTACACTACCAATCAAAAGATTGGAGTTTTTAATGTTCACATGACATGCAGGTAAACAAATTAAATATTTCAATTTTTGGGGGTTTTATTTTGATCATTTTTATTGAAATTTTTTTTTTTTTACTAAATTATTTTTATTATTGATATTTATTATTTTTTAATTTATTAATTTAGTAACAACTTTATTTTTGTAATTTCATTTTAAAATTATGCATTATTTTTTCAAGAATTATTTATTATATATATATATATATATATATTTTTTTTGTTGTTGTTTGTTTTGTTTTACTTTAATTTTTAATTATTTGCTTATCATTTCAAAATATTATTTTATTATTATTATATATTTTTAAATAATTGTTTATTTTTGATATAATATTATTATATCAATATTATATATTATTTTGTTATATTTTGGAATAATTGTTTATTTTTTATTTTGAGGTCTTTTTTTGCTCACAAAGCCTGCACAATTTTTAAAGTAAAAATTGTGAAATATTATTACAATTTAAAATAACTGTTTTCTATGTGAATATTTGTTAAACTGTAATTTATTTCTGTGATCAAAGCTGAATTTTCAGCATGATTACTGCAGTCTTCAGTGTCACATGATCTTCAGAAATCATTCTAATATACTGATTTGCTGCTCGAGAAACATTTCTGATTATTATCAATGTTGAAAACAGTTGTGCTGCTGAATATTTTTGTGGAAACTGACACATTTAATTTTTCAGGATTCTTTGATGAACAGAAAGTTCAAAAGAACAGCATTTATTTGAAATAGAATCTTCAGTAACATTATAAATGCCTTTACTGTCACTTTTGATGCATTTAATAAGTGTTATTCAGACTGACGTTTCTCAGGGGTCTGAGCGAGTGCAGCAGGCCGCTGGATGAGCTTCCTCTCGGGGATCTCTGCTCCAGCTGCTCTCCTGTGGCTCTTTTGACTGCGGGTGGCGTCCCTTCGCTCGTGCTCAGCAGTGAGTAATGAGGGAGCTTGGGGTGGCTGGGAGCGGCTGGCGTCTCCTGGCAGTGCATGCAGCCGGGGAACGGATGCGCCTGGCAGCAGGGACACAGCGGCCCCGGACCGGAGCCCGCGGAGGGAGGTATGGAGGACCTGCGGTGGCGTGAAGCGGCGTCCACAGCGGTGGAAATGAGGTCAGGACTGGAGCCAGACAGCCTCCGCTGCAGGTGGTCGGTCTGCGGGCTGCGGAGGGCAGCGGCTGGGCCGAAGTAGCGCAGGTTGTTGGCGCAGGTGGCTACGGCGTTTTCGCGGTTCTGCACCGGTAACAGCGGGCCCTCGGGCGGAGGGTGATGATGGTGGAGGTAGCTTTGCTCCTGTAGGGGCTGTTGCTCCTCCGACGGCCCTGAATTGAGTTTGAGGGCCCCTGGGAACTCACTGTGACTCCCTTTGCTGTTGGCCCTCCGGTGGCGGGGTTTACTGCGGTACCGGGCTTTCCCAGGCGGGGTGGACACTTTTGGGCTTCCTGACAACGGGGACGGAGCCGGAAGAGGCTCGACGCTGGGAATGCCGTCAGAGCGCAGCAGATCCGGTCTGCAGGAGATCATGTGCATGTTAATGACCTCATGAAGAATTCATGACAGATACATTTCATTCCACACAGCACCGCTGACTTTAACTACAAATTATCCATCCGTGTTTCCATATTCATGGGAAAATATTCCACAAAATAATCACACATTGACAACATATGACATATCAAGATAGTGTATAATTTTTTAAACATGATAAAAATACAATAATAAAAAGGTAATTGACATTTGTAGAACATTACATTCATCACGCTGTTCAGTAAAACCTCTTACTGACTCCTATTGCTTAAACCAAGGATTCCCAAACTTTTTTGACAGCTGAACCCCTTTGACCTAAAACATTTACTTGAAATCCCCCTTAGATTTTAAACTAATATTTCATTAATTTATCAACACATTTGCATTTGTTTTATTTTGAATGTTTTTATTTTCAAAGTATTTGTATTATTTTTATTATTGATATCAATTATTCATGCACTACTTAACTCATTTTTTATTTTTAATTTTAAAATTATTATATTTATTATTTATTTTTTCAATTATTATTCTTTATTATTTATATTATTTATTCATCATTTTTATTGTAATAAATGTTTACTTTATACTCTAATTATTTGCTTTTCATTAAAAAATTATTTTTATTATTATATTTAGTTTATTATCGATATTTGTTATTTTTAATAAATTATTAATTAATTTATTTTAATAACTTTTATTCATGTTTAATTATCTTTTCATTTTTAAATAATACTGTTTCTAGCTATTTTTTATTTGTTATTTATTTTAATTATTTCTTATTTTTAATTACTTTCATTTTTAATTATTTATTTATTTTAATAACTCTTTTTATTACCAAAATGTATTATTTCTAATACATTATTAAATAATTAATTTTAATAACTTCAATTATTTTTTTTTGTATTAATTACGAGCTTTTAATTTTTGAAAAAAAAAATTACTATTATTTATTTTTGAAATAATTTTGCTATTATTTATATGATTTATTATTTAAATTAATTATTAACTTGTTTTAATTACTTTATTTAATTAATTGTTAGCCTTTCATCAACTCACAAACCGACTGCAGTTCCCTCATGAACCCCCGGGGGGCCGCAAACCTCAGTTTGGGAATCCCTGGCTTAAAGTATTAAATGCATTATGATATGAACACCACAAACAGCACATATGCCTGTGTCTTCATGGATCGCTCACCTCTTTGGCTGTTGTGTCCCGGGCTTATGGTTCATGCTGCTCTTCTTCTTAATGAGCTTCTCAACAGCGTTGGGCCGCACAATGGGCCGAACCAGATGGCGTTTGTACGTGCCGGGATGCTTCTTCTCCACGGCCTGCTCCCTCCTGCAATAAAACACGGGAAACGCTCAGATCTCACGACCAAAATCTGTGATAGTAAAAGCAGCGAGATTTGACTGAATGTGGGTCACAGGAAAACAGCACGAGCCGGGTCGAGCTTTAAGCAGATTAGATTTAATTAGAGTTTCAGAGAGACGTCAGAGTTCAGACTCATTACAGCCTTTCATGAGTAATTTCATGCCAATAAACGGACAAACTCATGAGAGAGAGAGAGATGCACACAGCATAATCGGCATCAGAAAAGCAATTTCATACCATCATACTACCATAACATCTCAATTTCTGCAGTATACAGTATATTTACTGAATGAATGAACTGGAAGTAATATCACCAGTGATTTTTAAATAGATTACCAGAAGTAATTCACTCAAGATTAGATTAAAAACCCAAACTGAATAACCATATTTATTTGAGATCCTTGATATCTTGATCCTTGTTTCATGAATGAGAATGATTTCAAACTGAGATGTTTAAATAATTTTAAAAAAATGCATTCGTGTGATTCATTTTCCGGAATCAGTTCAAACAGCTTGTTTTAATGAATCAGTTCAAAATGATTAAATTAATTTAAATCATCACTCAAATATAAAAATTTGATTTTTCGTGCATTAACGTGTTAGTCAAATATCTGTAGGTAAATACTGCCATTTATGACTGTTATATTCATGCATATAAATGAAAATGATTAAATATGATGGTTTCTTATTGAAAAACATGCCTTGATTATTTGAATTAGATTTTTAATGTATTTTACTTCTTGCATTAAATATTTAAAATAGACTACAATGTTCAATTGGGTTAATATGGAAGCTTGTTTCCACCTCAGAATAATAAAAAAAAAAAAAGTAATTATGACTTTTTATCTCACAATTCAGACTTTTTCAAAATGTTCACAGTTTTTAAGTAAATATTTTAATAATTTAACAACACGCTCACGTTTCTCTGATGTTTGCTAATGTCCACATGTCGAATATAATATTTAATATATTTTTTTGTGTTTTATTTTATTTAGTGTTTTATTTTACAATTATTCTTCTAATTATTTTTAAAATTATTATTTTTAATGATTGATATTTATTTTTAATTACTTTATTTAATGAATTGTTAATTATCTGATTTTTTTTAATTGATCACTTTATTGTTCTTGACATTTTAATAATTATTTTTTATAATTTACAATTATTTTTAATTATTTGCTTTTCAGTTTAAAATTATTTTTATAATTTTTTCAACAATTGTATTTATCACTGATATTTATTATTTAATAAATTATTATTTTGTAATAACTATTTCAGTTTTAATTACTAGCGTTTCATTTTTAAATGATTAATTTTAATCGTATTTATATTTAAAAGTTTTTTTTCCCCGCCACTGAAAAAAAAAAATTAAGGTAATTTCAATTTTTTTTATCTCACAATTCTGACTTTTTTTCTTGCAGTTGTGAGTTTATATCTCACAATTCAGACGTTTCTTCTCAGAATTGCAAGAAAAAAGTCAGGATTGGAAGATTAAAGGTCACAATTACCTTTTTGATTTTTTTACCCAGTTGCGCAAACAAGCTCTCGTAGTTTCAATTATGCTTCTTTTTATGAAAAAAGAAAAGACCACAATGAAGGACTTACTTGAGCAGCTCTTTCTCTCGCACCTCCAGCTGCAGCATGATAGCGCTGAGCTCCATGTACAGGTTATTGGCTCGCTCCAGTTTCCTCTCGTAATGCTCTCGGATATCCAGAGCGTGTCTGAAACACACAGAGACAGTGAGACAGCCTGTAACACACAGTGACCTCCAGCTAAAGCTCTCTCTGTTGCGTGTGATTCGTCTGGGTTCACCTGAGCTCGTCTCTTCTGCGGCGAATCAGCTCCTCGTCCAGTCGATGGATGCAGGTGCCTTCGCTCTTGATCTTCTCGAAATGCTTCTTCACCTCCTCTCTCCATTCCGTCTGCCACAGACAATAATGTTATTGTTCATTAAAATGGGAACACTTTAGTTTGGGGACCAATTAGCATGAATATTACTAGAATACTGGCTGTTTATTAGTACTTATAAAGCACATATTAATGCCTTATTCTGTATGACCATATTTTAGACCCGTAATCCTAAACTTAAAGGGATAGTTCACCCAAAAATGAAAATTTGACGTTTATCTGCTTACCCTCAGGGCATCCAAGATGTAGGTGACTTTGTTTCTTCAGTAGAACACAAATGAAGATTTTTAACTCAAACCGTTGCAGTCTGTCAGTCATATAATGGCAGTCTATGGGCTCCACGGCTTTGAGAGTCAAAAAAACATACACAAACAAAACCAAATTAAACCCTGCGGCTCGTGACGATACACTGAGGTCTTAAGACAC